AATTGTTCACTAAGTGTTGTAGGGAACATTATAGAAATGAATCACAAACTATATAACCATATAAAAAATGCTTCAAATGGCATTTATACAGTGTTCTTCATCTTTTCTTGTAAAATATAAAGCAATTCTCCCCATATTAAAGAAGAATTGTCACTTAAATACACCTGATGAAGGTCCTTAGAACTCTGCTACTTGCAACTATGCAGCTCAGTTCTCTAAGAAGTCATCTTGTACCAAAAAGAAGCCAAAGAAAGATGAGACTCCTGAAAGGAAGAATTCCACTTATAATATTGCTATACAGAAATTTACCTACATTTTGTCTCCTGCCTGTTCATTGTAAAATTCTTAATGTTTATTTGTATAAGCCTTCTTTCCATCTATGTTCGTCATTTGGGATCTCATCCCTGTTTTTGTCCTCATCATCAGCTTTGCATTTTTTTCCAGAGTTTGTCTGGAAAAACATATTTCATTTTCTCCTTCATGTGCTGTTGTTTTGTATTTTAAAATTGCTGAAATATAGACTAATGCCACTCTTAAATGAATACAGCTTAATTTTAGGTCTGGTGTCTAAATAGTATGTCATCACCTTAGTCTGTAGACCAATGAAGTGAGCTGCTGTAATAGTGAAAGCAACAGAAAAGTTTTGAGGAGAAATATCTATGATATTTGTGTTTTGTATTTTGTTTTCACTAAGACCTTTTCTCACACCCTAACTGTTTCTAATTGATAACCCTTAATAAAGACAGAAAATGCATAACTCTGATTCCTCTTCATCATTGACCTGTTTGGTTTGGTTACTTCAATTCTAGGTACTTCTGGCATCCTGGTTTTACAAAAAGGAAGGTTTGTTTCAACGCATAATCAGCCTGCTGCTGGGGCTCTTCTGTCTGGGAACAAGGAAGTCCCTCTGCATAGGCTGGAATTCATAGATTCATAGAAACCAAGAATGGTTTGGGTCAGAAAAGATCTTAAAGATCATCTAGTTCCAGCCCCCCTGCCATGGGCAGGAACACCTTCCACTAGACCAGGTAGCTCAGAGCCCCAACCAGTCTGGCTTTGAACACTTCCAGGGATAGAGCATCTACAACTTCTATGGGATACAAGTTCCAATGTCTCACCATCCTCACAGACTTGAGACACTCGGATTTCTTTCCTACCAGAGGTCTTCTACATGAATACCTCAAAGCAGGTCTAACACCTTCAAGGACCTCTATATCTGCCCAGCATCAGCGCAGTTTGGAGGAAGCCACAACAGCAATTCCTGCTGAATCCACCACTACTGCAGCTCTGGTTTCAGTTTTCATCCTTTCCTCTAACGAACTAGTAATTTAACATGAGTTAATCAGAGGAGAACAAGAAACAGCTTAGTGATTAGGGTACTGCCCTGGGCATCAGGAGACATGGGCACTGCTCCCTTTCCCTGGGATTTACATCCGTATTTGACATTAACCTCCAGAAAAGAAGTCATAACTGGGAGCACACTAGGACAGCCTACTCAGCCAGAAAAATATGGACCTGATTAATTGTTAATACTTTTATACAGTATGTGACAGTACAGTGGTTTACAGCGAAATCTAACCCCTTAATCCTAATGTTTTAAAACCATCTTGCAAAACGTGACTCTTCCTTCCCCGCTAACAATGTGTCCTTAGAAAAAAGGCCCCAGCAAAGTTGCTGCATCAACAAAAAAATCCCGAGAAGGTATCCACCAGAGGGAGTTCCATGAATGCATCAAGCCCAGCCTGAGATATAAATGGTTATACAGCAGCTGAGAAGAGCTGCCTGTGGGCTCCCTAGGACAGACAGGCTGTTCCCCGCAGCTTCTGATCAAGATCCTTGGCTGAATTCAGCAAAGTACTGACCCAAATCTGCATAATCTTAAGTGAATACTCAGTGAACTCTAAGGAATTGCTCTGTGCACGGCATTAAGCAAATGTTTTATTAGAGCGGGGTCAAAATACTCAGTGCTTTGCAGGATCATACGAGGAAAAGAAAAGACTGTTTACACCTCGGCTTTTATTCTTCCCTCACTGGTTCACTTGTCAGAAAAAAAGCTAAGCCAGGGCCAGCCTCGTTTCTGGGAGGCCCAGGGAGGAAGCCTTGGAAGCAAACCCTATTGCTTCCACTCAGGAAGAGTTTTTGATGAGGCTGCCTCTGACACACAGCAATGGCAGCTGCTCTGGATGGATCCTGGCTCTGCCTCCCAAAGAGAAAACAACAACATGATGACACCTCTCTATCTAGAATACAGAATAAATCTGTTTCAACATGAAGTTCTACCTCTGAGATCTTTTGTCCAATTCACATTAAAACTATTTTAAGCAGAGGAAAACAGTGTGTACTAACCTTTACAAAAAAAAAAAGTCAAATTCTTGTCTCCGTCTGCCCCAGAAAGCAGGCAAAGGATCACAGTCATATCAAGCCATTGTGGAAAAATCCCAGATTAAGAATACCATTTTAGACCTTTTGAATTTTTTCTTTTAGTTGCATCTCCTGGGTGTCCTAGAGTCTTGAACAGTTCCTAATAGAAATTTAAAAAAAAACACTCCACCCTGCTGGAAACCTCAATCCAAATTCTGAGTTATATTAGGATAAAGGAGCACAAGGAGTTAATCCGAGCTATGTGCTTTGACACAATTCCTGGCTAAAGGCTCGAAGAGGCTGTGAGAAGACATTAAATGAAGGTGATTCCTGCCTTGATGAGATTATTTCCAGTTAAAAAAAAAAAAGGTATTGCAATATTAGAAAAGGACAAGGCTGTTGTTTCTGTGATCACAAGAAGGAGGTGCAGAGAGAGTTTTGCCTTAGGACATTCCTGAGCTGGAATTCCAGCCCCAAAAGCAAGCGGCCCCCAGCACAGGGCACAGTCCTTTGTCACCTCTCCCCTCTCTGTAAACCAGGCATCTTAATACCCCCACTTTTCACAGGAATGCTAAATAAAATGCCTTGAAGATGAAGTGCCTGTGTCGCTGTCATGCTGCCAATAATCCTGTACTGTGCAGATTCATATGGTAACAGGAGCCAAGGTCAGGGAAGCATTAGTCAGTCTGAATTTGGCAAATGGGGGTGTCTGATAGCCCTCACTCGAAGATTAGATTAGCATGAAATGCCTTGCCTAGGTTATCCTTGAAAATCACTTCAGCTACTGCAGGAGATGGCTGTTCAGTGCATTAGCAGGGGTGAAAGCAAGACTGTTACTTTCGACGTACATTTGCTTTGCCAGTCTTGACTTTCTGGGCTATTAGTACTGATTTAAAACTATCAGAGAAATGTAAATATCCCCAGTTTTTTAATGGAGTGCTACCGATCTGTAGATATCCCTAGTGTACAAGACCTGGTTGGATGGGGCTCTGGGCAACCTGGTCTAGTGGAAGATGCCCCATGGCCGGGGGGTTGGAATTAAATGATCTTCAAGGTCCCCTTCCAACCCAAACCATTCTAGTATTCTATGATTCTTTGATTCGATGATTCTATGATATCTAAGGTAATGTTCTTACATCCCTTTCCTTTTTTCATTTCTTTCAAGCATATCCAGGGGGTATCTACAGTCAGACCATTTTCAGTGGTGTTTACCTCACCATGGAGGTCTTATTAGTCTTATCCCAAGGTGAAGGTTTTCGGTGCAATGAATTCCTGCAGGAAAACCATAATTTAACACCCACTGAGCCCCTACATCCACAGGGTGCAGAGCAGCACAGAACACTACCTTGGTATCAGTGTAATTTCTTAACCGGCAAACCCTGTCATAAGCACGGCTGATGAGCTTCTGTGCAATGCCCTCTGCCCACTGTGCTTCCCCTTTTGGAGCCAGATAACTGGGCCCCAGCTGTCAGGTATCCCTCTCTGCTGCTCTGTGCAGTGAGTGGCTGCTGGTGAGTTCACCTTTCATTATTGGGTTGGAGAAAACATCTGGGATGACACTGGGTAACTTCGGTCCTGTGACAGGAGACGAGCAGGTCAGGTCTACGAGGCTTGGTTTTTTTCGTATCAAAAAGGTCCTTTGCAAATCTAACGTATTTATTTTAAAAATATTTTCTCCATAGAAAGACAAACATTAAGAATGAAGAAGAAAATGTCAAGTAGGTTCTCAGTGCTGTCTGCCAGTCACCTCTAGTCTGCTGTCACTTGTAGTTAAGGTGAAAGGCAAGTCTTTTGAAGCACTACTAATATTATTAGAAATCTAAATATTAGCACTGCCTCTCCATGTCTCCATCAGATAAGACACTAACTTTTCTGTTAGCAATTGTGAAAGTTGTAGTTCTTGATGCCAGCCATGCTATGTTCACCAGGAATCTGGAAAGAGGCGGGGAGAGAATATGGATCCAAGCACTTTTCTTCTTTCCTGCCCTGTAGCGTAAAGTATTGCAGTTAAATGGATACTCAGGTCATGGTGGTGAAAGCAGGGACTGCTCTTTCTTGTAGTGACACAGAGCTTGTAGTGACACAGCCCTGCTGCCCTCATAGCCCTTCCCTCCTCTTCCCAGTGCATGCACTCACTCTTCAGACAAGTTTTCATTCTCTCTCCAACAGTGGGAAAGTACAAAACAAAATACCAAGATTGGGCCAGTGTCAGTACTAACAGGACTTGGGGAAAAATGCCGCTAAATCCAGTCTAGAGTATTTTTCATGTAGTTCTGTGGGACTCTGACAATAGCTATAGGTTTTATAGCAGTTCCTTCTACTCTACATACCCTGATCCTCATTCAGTAAATTACATATGGTACAAGAATGTGAAACAATAATCTCAAAAAAAAGATATCTCTCAGCTTCACAGCCATTCTGACAAAGATCTGTATTGCTCTATACAGGCAAATCAACTTCCAAAAAGCAACATGTTTCTGGAGAGTCAATATTAACAAAAGCAATGTGTGAGGAAAAGCCAAGACAAGGTTGAGAAGGCATTCAGCTGTTAGTAAACACTGCCTCCCCTTTATTTCCTACCACTCCCTTGTTTCCTTTTTCACTGGCACTGGAAAAAATAATTCTGATGAAGCCACAAATGACAGAAGACATATTTAATTCTTGCAGTGAAACCAGTGTTAAATACCATTGGGCTGAATTAAAGCCATACAGAATGGGGATAAGTCAAAGCAGTTTGTGTAGAAGCATCCCAGGAAAGCCACAAGATTGCTGAAGGCTTGATGGAAGCAGGGCCAGGAGTCACATGGAGATGAGTCCTTACAGAGAGTCATTTCTAACATAATCAAATTCAAAATACAATCCAAGATGAGATTGCTGTAAATAAATGGAAATTTATTAGTTTCAGAAGGCCTCATGATATCGAGTTTCAGAAAAACTCAAAGCCAACATTTTGAAGAAAATAATTTTGGTCTCTCTTACAGAATGAGGTATTGGCATCAGGCAGCCCCTCCAGATATGGTTATTCCCATACATACTCCTTACAAGAAGAAAGGAAAAGGAAGGGGAGGGGAGGGGAGGGGAGGGG